ATATGTGTACCAGTAATTAATTTTGTAATTAAATATGTGTACCAGTAATTAATTTTGCATATGTGTACCAAAACTACTGGTACCAGTAATTTTGCATATGTGATGCACAGTGCATTAGGTATGCCTGGAAGGCCCTGTTTATGAGACACGTATCATTTATGTGGCTGCTAGTCTAAAGTTGATGAGAGTTGAATACAATATGTGAAGTTAGACTTGAAGGGGTCTGGAAAAGACTTCATATTTAGGACAAAAATCATTGTCTCCATTTTGGTAATCTGTGGCTAGGTAGTTTTTTTTAAATTGTTGCTGTTATTGGGTGTGTGTGTGTGTGTGTGTGTGTGTGTGTGTGTGTTTTCAGTCCAAGGCCTTTACACTGAGGTAAACCCCCACCCTCACTCCATTTTTACATTTTTTGAGACAGGGTCTTGCTAAAGTACTAAGTTGCAGTACCAGGGATTTAGCTCAGTGGTTCTATCACCTGTCTTGCAAGAGCAAGGACCTGAGTTCAATACCTGGTCCCAAAAAAACAAAACAAAAACAATAAAGTACTAAGTTTCCCAGACTGTGCTCAAAGTTGCAATCCTCCTGCTGCATCCTGCCAGGGTGCTGGAATTACAACCCAATCAGGTCATTCTTATAAACAGTGTTAACAGTTGCTGTCAGAAAGTTAGGAAAAGTGCAGCACAAACCATAAAATGTATCGCTTTCATGAATGAACTCACATGCTTAGTAACACAGAGCCCTGAGAGGAAGAGTTTCATTATGGAGTTCAAGGCGATGGGTTCCCAGGAACCTTAGGGGATTGGCAGCTATCCACTGTGGCATAACAAACCATCTCTTTGTGGCTCTGGGGGTTGGGAATTCAGACAGAACTTAGCAGGAATGCTTGTCTCAGCTCCATGATGCTTGGGCCCTCATCTGAGAAGACTTGGGGTAATTCAAATGTTGGAATTTTCTAGAGGTTCTTTATACAAAACATCTGGTAGCTGGGCTGGGAACGGTTGATTAGGGTGCTTACATGTAGCCTTCCACATGGCTTAGGATTTCTTAGCGTATGGTGGCCTCGGGACAATTTAGTTTTTCATATGGTGCCTTATGGATCCAAGAGTGAGTCTTCCAGAGAACAAGGTAAACTCTGAATGGCCTTTTCTGACAGAGCCTCAATCCACTTGGATTCAAGGGAAAGTACTTAGAAGCCATTTCTCAATGACAGCAGCCTCAAATTGTACTTTAAAAGCTGTCACGAAGGGTATCATAGCCTCTTAGGATTCTCAGGAATCTTTCTAGGCCAGCTTCTTGTCTTAGATATCTCTGTATCCTACAAGACCTGCTGCTACACTTGAGGCTACCAAAAGTCAAGGCTTAAAGGGGCTTTGGTGAGCTGCAAGAATAACTTTGTGACACCAAATCCCTGCCCACCACAATGTGTAGGTGGCCATGGCAGTTTAGCAGGCCTTTTTAGAGCTGGGAATACATAATTCTAGATCTTCTGGCTCAACCAGTCATAGATTACTGCTATCTTCTCTCTGCTGGAGATCGAATTCAGCGCCTTCACACTGAGCTACATTCCCACATTCGAGCAGCCCCCTTCTTCTTGCTCTCTTTTTTGTAATTTTTATTTTGAGAGAGGTTTTTGCTAAGTTGCTAGGTTGTCCAGGCTGAGCTAGAACTTGTGACCCACTGCCTCAGGATCCTCCTGCCTCAGACTCAAGAGTATTGGAATTACAGGTGTGCACCACCATGCCTGACTTTTTGTTTTTTTTAAGGCAGGGTCTTTTAAGTTGTTTAGTTGGTCTTGAACTCTTGAACTGAAGTGATTATCTGGTTTCAACCTCTGGAGTATCTGGTAGTAGAGCACATGCCACCATGCTTGGCTTGTCATCTTCTTACAAATCTGACCCTTTTACTTCTCTATCTCCCCAAGATGAAGTCCAAGGCCATTAGCATCACATACAAGCCTCTTTTGGATTTGCCTTGTCCACTTAGAACTCAGACTCTATGTACTATAGTACAAAATATAACCAGCAGCAGAACTTAATTATCCAGGTTAAATCCCCACATTAGTAGGCCTAATACATTTCTTGGAATGCAAAAGATTTTTCTTTTTTCAGTTGGGGGTAGTCCACAACAAAAATGGCCTAGTTTCCACTGTTTTTTATTCAACTAGTTTTTTTTTTTTTTTCCTGGCGGTACTAGTGACTGAATTTGGGGCTATTCACCCACTAAGCTACCGCCCTACATTTATTTTGAGAGTCTGGCTAAGTTGCCCTGCTGGCCTGAGGCTTGAGATCCTCCTGCCCCAGCCTCCTGAGCTGCTAGGATTATAGACCTGCTCCATCACAGCTGGCTCAGACAGTTCTTGAGAACACAAGTGTGTGGTGGATTCTAATTCAGGAGCCAATGATCTCCTCTGACCCTTGACTTTCTGTGTAGATGCCAGCCCAATGGTCCTGAATTCTTTTACCTTCACAATGAATTGTTTTCCCAGGGTCTTATCTTTTTGGCAGTCAGTCTGTCTCGTATTGACCAAGGCCTCTGAGTCTATCTCATACATTTTAATAACTCAGAATCAAATTAGTGAAGAAGGGAACAGGGATCCCTTTCTTTTATCTGGTCCCTGCTATGTCTAAACACATTTTAAAATACTTTTTTATTTGTGATGCTAAAGATTGAACAGGTTAGGCAAACACTCTACCACTGAGCTACATCCTCAGCGCCATCTTCAAATGTCTAATTCTGTGATTGGCATCTAAGAACATATATCAGTATGTGTGCCTGACACAATTTCACCTGTTTACAGCACCAGGATCCAGGTCTTCCTGATTCTGCAAAAGTGTCTGAAAACATCTGTACTTACTTTCAGGGGATTCATGGATCCCTAAAGTATGGTTGCTGGATAAAATATGGGTACCCGATTAAAAATCTGAATTTCATTGGCATAGTGGCACATGCCTATAATCCCAGTACTTGGGAAACTGAGCCACAAGGGTTGCCAACCTGAATTACATAAAGAGTCCCTATCTCCAAAAACAAAACAAAAAAATCTGAATTTCAGGTAAACCATGTACACTGTTTTTTGGGGTACTGGGGCTCACACCCAGGGGTGCTCTACTACTGTGATCAAGTGATGGTGCACACCTGTAATTCTATCACTCTAGGCAATTTAGTAAGACCTTATCTCAAAGTAAAAAAGAAAAAGGTCTGAGGATGTACTCAGTATTAGAGCACCCGTGGGTTTGATCCCTAGTACTGCATATATAAGTAAACAAATAAATAGTTTTTTATCTGAAGTTAAAATGTAATTAGGCATTTGTATTTTTTCTTGCTAAAATCAGCAACCCCATCTTTAGGCCAATCACAACTTTTCTAGGTTTATGGATTGTAGAGTAAGAATGGGTGAAGAAAAAGTGTATTTTTCTTTCAAGAGCTGTTCAATCAATTAACAATGTAATAACAGAGCAAAGGATAAACGGAAAGAATCCTTTCCCTTCCAATTCCTTTAGGGCTAAATATGAGGATCTTATGATTGTTGTCTTTAAACTTTACATTGTAATGGAGTGACTATGAGATTGACGTACGGCACCATTGCGGCCATGATTTCCTTCTTAAATTTCTAGAACAAAAAGATGTTACACCAAGTTGTTTAAATCGGACTTAGAAAATTGTTACAGGGCCGGGGAATTAGCTCAGTGGTGCTGCCGCCTGTCTCTCAAAAGCAAGGTTTCAAGTTCGATCCCTGGTACCAAAAGAAAGAAAGAAAAACAAAACAAAACAAAAGAGAAAGAAAATTAAGTAACCTAAATAGCAGATCTTCAGACCAATGAAGGAAAGTGCTGGAACAAGTACTGTATTCCCAGTTGTTCCACAACCCCTTGAAGCTGGTACTGTAACGGAAGAACAGTGAAAAAAATCTTCATTTCAGTCGTTAAGTCCTAATAGTGTCACCATTTTGCCTTTTTAATGTTTCCTCAACAGGGGGTGTCAGGCCAACTCCCTACCAAATTTCTTCTTACAGGAGATATTTGTCCTCTTTATTTTGTAAATTTTATTTGGCTTAAAAAAATCAGGGTAAAAAAGTTGCAACAGTGCAAAACACCATCGTGACTCCTAGTACCTGGGCTGCGGGTTCTCAACTTGGGTCGGTGGCCTTCGTCTAAAGGAGTTCTAGAGAATTCACCAATTCCCTGAACGCACATTTTTCAGCGTGTGAATAACTGTGCACTTTTGCGGGAAAAAGAATCCAAAGTTTTACCTGAAGCTCAAGAGTCGTTAAGAAATCCCAACGCAGGACCTGCGGAAGGTCTCGAGCGACTCAGAACGGAGGGTCAAATCCCTGCAATAACTACACCCAAATCCCAGGTTCCTTACAGAAAACTACGACCCGAGTGGGCGGAACGGTGCTCCCTCTGCCCAAGTTTTCCGCCTGCCGCATTCCTTCCCTCCAACGCGTAGGCGTGCGCTGACGTCATGACGCCGCACGCGCAGCCCCGCCCCTGCAGAGCTCGGTGCTCGGACGAACCTGGCCTCCTCTCAAACCCGGAATGTGAGGCTTCGGCTCGGCTGTCGCTGCTCTCCGGCCCCCGTCTCGGCTCGGGTCTGCGTCCGCTATCCCCCAGCTTGTCCCCGAAAAGCCAGGGCGGCCGCGC